TATATATATATATATATAATATCGCTGGATTTTCCTTACTCTCTGATTCGTTGTAGGTGCAGGAAATTTTTAAGGGGGGCCGTGATGAACTGATGAAGGCAGGCACCATCCATGATGTCAGGTCGACGTTGACGAAAAATTTGAATCGAGAGCAGGGGGAATTATTATTCGATACCCTGGCAGGTATTCAAATTTCCTGGATAGTGGAGCTAATGGCGGCGAACAAGATCGTCTTCCATCGCATACTGATCGATTCGTAATGATTTATTACGTTCGACATCGGAAAATGTGTATATTTCTATAAGTAGGAGAACACTGTCACAATACTTTTGTTTTTCGCGAGATGTCGAGGAACCGGACTCGTTTCGTCGTGTTCAGCCGCCCTGAAGAAGCCGCCAAACAAGTCTGAAACGTGTCGGCCTCGCGAAAATGCAACCGCGCACACTTTCTCTCTCCGCGCGAATGCTTGTCGAGCACCAGATTAATCGTCCTGTCGTCGCTATCAGTTCAGTCAAATGGTCAAAGTCTAATTCCAGATCCATTTATATACATATATCACGATCAGTACGGCATCTTCGAGATTTTAATCGCGCTTGCGCAACACTTGTATATATCATATGTTACAGAGCTATCAGAGCCACTACTGTCAATTTTCATTACTAGGATGTCCCATTTTTCATTTTGTAATCGTATGTTCAATCATGCATATCTCCGCGATATAATAAAAGATGTAATAGAGATATTATACTTACAATTAGTCGATGAAATAATACGCCGAATATAGTGCTAGCATTACTAATTATAAATCGAATGACAGATATATAAACATATTTTGTAACAAGAACAAAGTTTATCAAAGTATGCATCTACTATATAAAATGTTCCTTATTTTTCAATTAAAAATTCCGTTAAAGTATCTCATAATTGATCATCGGAAATGTCTCTATTCTTTCTTCACAAGAATATTGAATGAAATAATGGCCAAAACTAATTTTTTTCATAATAAAATAAATTCGATCGTCTTAACATAATCTTCAATTCGAATGCATGAATTTAAATACACTACTAGAGATGCACTCCACTTGTCGAAAATCTTCGAATTGTTTGATTAACCAATTAGAATCAAAAGTATCAAGATTTCTATATTCCGATTGGACGATTCGAAATGACCAGTCAGAATAATAGCGGCAAAGATCTCTGCTCTAATTGGCCAAGCAGAATCACTAAATCAATATATAGTGTTTTCGAGTGAACGGATTTTGATCCATTTCAGATCAATTAATCACTATTTTACTATAAATTAAAGTCTTTTAATTGATAGAGACAATGCAATAATCATTAATCAACTTTGGGTCGATCAAAATCCGTTCAATCGAAAACACTAAAGAGAAAACCGCTCAGTAGCAATCGAACGTGATTGGCTTTTACTTTTAGAACCAACAAATCAACGCCGAAAATTGACAAGACGATAACTGAGCACTCTCTCTCTGTCGAACGAAGAACATTTTCATATGTCTATGGCTGAACGCAGCCAATTGTTTCCTTAGCTACCATCCCTCCTTCACTGCTGGATAAATTTCAAATCGGTTGAAATTTAACGTCTCTCTGTTCTGCTCTGTTCTCTGCTATCTGTGTCCACCAACGGTTCAGAACAATAGGAGAGTCTTGATCTTTGTATATATTCTCGCGCTGTAGGATTTCTTCAAAGTATATTTTTATAAATTGTAAAATTCTGAGAAATTGTATTAAAAGTAAGTACAAATAGTTTTTTAGCGATATCACAAAAAATAGACGTTTTAATATATTGCATCTAAGCAACGATAAAAGCGGTAGATGGTCACTTTTAGAAGTTTTAAAATCTTAAGACTCTCAAGAATATTTTCTTCTATCTTAAAAAGGTTAAAATAAGAATTCTTTATTTTCTATTCTTCTGATTTAATTGAAACATGCGTTTCTTTTACTTCTAGAAATATTTAATAATGTTTCTCTACATTGTGAAAAAGATTCTTTCTTTGTATTTTTCTTTATTTTTTTATTGATATATTTTACTTTATGATAAAATGTGTAAACCTGTAGATGCACAGATATATATGCTTTTCATATTAGAGAGATATTAAAAATTGTGCACTGATATACAAAGATTCTTAGATGCAAATAAATTATATTAAGTAACGAGACTCATTTGTGTTTGCTGGACTATTATAGTGAAGATAAATGTTCTTTCTTTATCAAAATAATTTAAAACTGTCTTTGATTATTTGATGTTGACTGGTAAAATATAAATACTATTTATAAACATATAATTGTTTGTGCTTAAATTATTTTGACAAACCGAGAAAGAATACAAATATATCAAATAATGATAAAAATTATCTTATTTAATATTATTGTCTTATACTCTTGATAAACTGAATATGTGTGTAATATTTTTTTAGATGTGTGACGATACCATTTGCGTTGCTCTACGCATCCGTCCATTAGTGGAAAGCGAAATTGAGAAGGGATGTCAAATGTGCTTGAATGTTGTTCCTGGAGAACCACAAATTCACATATGTAATACTGATAAGGCATTTACATATAATTATGTTTTTCCTCCTGATGTTGGACAGGAAGATTTTTATAATATAGCTGTTAAACGATTGATAGATAATATTTTTCAAGGTAAATATTTCTATATATCCTTTATAATTTGAAGATACATATTTTTATTATATTAAAAATAAATTATATCTTTATCAGGCTATAATGTAACAATATTGGCATATGGACAAACTGGAAGTGGTAAAACTCATTCTATGGGCACCAACTATGTAGGAATGGGAGAGAAGGGTATAATACCAAGAGTTACCCATGACATATTTGAAAGAATTAAATCGAAGGAAGACTGGAGTTTTAAAGTAGCTGTGTCGTTCATGGAACTATATCAAGAACAACTGTATGATCTGTTATCTGATAAGCAGAGAAGCCAGTCCATTGTAGATATCAGAGAAGATGGAAAAAGTATAAAAATCGTTGGCATTACTGAAAAAGAAGTTGTAAATGCTCAAGAGACACTAAAATGTTTGACTCAGGGTGCTATGGGTCGTGTAACTGGCGCGACTGCCATGAATGCACATAGTAGTCGTAGTCATGCAATATTTACAATATGCATACATCAACAAAAGAAAAATGATCCGTGAGTAATTCCCTACTTGTGATATTTTTTATTGCATTTTTTTGTTAAATTTATGAAAATAAAAATCTCTTTCTTTACACAGAAATACTGCAACAGTTGCAAAATTTCACCTAGTCGATTTAGCGGGCTCGGAACGTAGTAAAAAGACTCAAGCCACGGGAGAACGATTTAAGGAAGGTGTGAATATAAATAAGGGATTGTTAGCTTTGGGCAATGTAATTTCCCAACTCGGTGATGGTGCTCCTGGAACATACATTGGATATAGAGACAGTAAACTAACAAGATTATTACAGGATTCTCTAGGTGGTAATTCCATGACTCTTATGATTGCCTGTGTCAGTCCTGCTGGTAAATATTCATATATATAGATATATCTCATTTTAACATATACTGCTCATTAATAATAAATCTATTTGTATACACAGATTATAACTTGAATGAAACTCTTAGCACATTGAGATATGCGGATCGCGCACGTAAGATAAAAAATAAGCCGATCGTAAATCAAGATTCGAAGATAGCTGAGATAAATCGATTGAACAAAATAGTTCAGGATTTGCGACTAGCTCTTATAAATCAAGAACTCGGCATAACGTGTCCTAAGGAACATGAAGAACTCGAAGAAAAATATAGTACATTGCAGCAAAAATTTAGAGATATGACAGAGAAACTAAATTTGAATTTAGGAGAAATCGTTGTCATGCATGAACGAGCGGAGATGGCTGAACAAGCCCGAGAAAAGATCAGATCCTCCATGGCAACATTATTGGATGAATTTAATCAAATTTTACAAGATCTTAATGATTGTCCTGAAATTAACAACGAAAGATATAATATATTAAAAGCAATATATGAAAAAATGTTAGGCAAGTATTTTTCTTTATGTAAATATTATATAAATTGTTTTAAACAATTTTTCTCACATATAATTTTTGTAATCTTTAATTTGATCCTTATTTCATCCACACAGATATCCAAAATGATGAAAGAAAAGCATCTGAAGAACTTATTAATCATGAAATATCTAATTCTAAAAACTGTGTGATGCATATGGAAGAAAGTGCAGAATGTACAGAGCAGATAGAAGAATTGAATAATATTGAAGACAGTTTAGATTATTTTGATAAGAAAGAGGAAGAACATACGTTGCGGCAAGCGGAACGAAATAACGAAGTTCAAAATATTAATAAGGAGCTAGCGCTGAAAGAAAGTCTTGTATCTGAACTTTTGAAGAATGCTACACAGCAAGCAGCAGAGAGCCGAAAGAATGTTGCGGAAATGGAACAAGAACTTAAACGGCTACATGTGGAAAAAGAAGAACAGTTACAAGCAGTACATGCGCACAATGTCAGTTCTAAGTAAGTAATTAAAAAATAATAATTAATAAAGTTTTACTTTATGGATACTCTTTATACAGATTAGCTGAAACACGTCGTAAAAAAGTGCAAGAATTAGAAAAAAAAATAACGGAACTAACGCGTAAGTGCATGGAACAAAACAAAATAATCAAGATAAAGGAAAAACAGGATCATAGGGTCAAAACTCTTTCCAATGAGATACAATCGCTAAAAGAGACTCGAGTTAAGCTTATCAGGCAAATGCGTATTGATGCGAATAATTTTACAAAGTGGAAGCAATCTAAAGAAAAGGAAATTAATAGACTGAAAGCTCAAGATCGTAAGCGTGCTTGTGAAATGGTACGCATGAAAATGCAACATAATAAACAGGAGAATGTCTTCAAGAGAAAAATGGAAGAAGCTTTTGCAGTTAACAAAAGATTAAAGGTATTTTTTCTATGATAATACTTTGTAAGGAATTTACCTCGCTCGGATACTTTTTAACGTTTTTGTATTATTGTAAAATATCTAAGTAATTTACATATATACAGGGTGCATTGGAGATGCAGAAAAAAGCGATGCAGCGACAAGAAAAGAAAGCCAACAGCAAAGATGACGTAAAAACATGGATAGCTCAGGAATTCGAAGTGTTGATGGCCACCATAGAAGCGAACTATTCTCTTGAGAGACTGATGCAAGATAGAGCTTCCTTGGTGCATCAATTAGAGCAATTTAAAAAAAATGACGATTCGAACGAAGAGGAACTTGCAACTGTCACCGAATTCATAGAGCTGCGTAACGCACAAATTGCAGATTTGCAACAAAAAATCCTCGAATCAGATCAAGGTAAGATACCTGAGATTATTTAATCAGGTAAAATGCGCGGTCTTCCATTTAATGAATTTTTTTTTTTTTTTTTTTTAAAATTATCTTTTATATCAAATTTGATAACTTTTCTTATACATGCTTTTGCAAATTTTATTTCATCAATAATTTCGCGTTTTCTCGTAACTTGCATTTTTTTCGCAAAGACGAGGTGTCTCTGAATGAAGAAATTTTTACCCACTGTTTTTCAAACGAGCCTCGCAATTGTACTGAGCAGTTATTCGTGTATTGCGATTCCTAGAAGGTCCACACCGCATTCAAATTGCATTCGTCCATCTCACTGGCAATAAATTTCTTTACAGCGAGAACGACTGCATATCGTTAGAGGCAGCCGCACGGGTACTTTATATTCATCGCGACAGACGGAAATACGGTATTATTAAAGTTATATTGCGTCGGCAAAATAATGTCGGGTCGGTAAATAATTTCAGAGCCAAATGTTTTAATGACCGTGTCGGTGCAACCGGTCTTCCGCCAAGATCGCGCATAGCCGGAACAGAAATCTGCGAATTATTGCTCCCTTTTCCGTAAAAAAATCGCGGATAAAGTTCCGAATAGGTGAACCCTCCGATTTTTTTGAAACTACACTATTTTTTGTATTTTTTAACGCTGATTACAAATGTGATAATGAAAATTTGCGACAAGGTCATTTTCAAGGTCAAAACTCAAAAAAACTGAAAAAATATAACTTTTTA